AAAAAAAAAAAAAAAAAAAAAAATTATATTATTATATTCGGGTTTTATTTATTCAATAAAAAAAATTATAAAATTATAAAATATTTGCAATTTTTATAAATTTGCAATTTTTATATTTTTTTTAAAGAAATTTTGGTTTTTTTGATTTTAATAGTTATTTAACCTTTAAATTTTATTAATTAATAATTATATATTTTTTTTACTTATTATTAAAATAGTTCTTTAATAATAAAATTCTTAGAATATTATATTTTATAATTAATATAAAAAATCAATTTAAATATTTTAAAGCTTTTTTTTTTATTTAAAGTAAATATTATTTTTATTTTAAATTAAAATTTAACTACTATATATCAATAAAAATTTAAAATATTTTAAAATATATAATAGTTTTAATAAAAATTTTATTATTATTTTATTATTAATTCTTACTATTTTTTTTTTTAAAAAAAAAATATTATATTCAAAGAAAATATTATTTTATATAATATTTTATTATTAAAATTATTTTATATTAATAGTTAAATAAATTATTTAAACTTATTTTTTACTTATTAATAAAAATTCTTAAATTATAAAAAAGCTTTATAAATTTTTTATTAAATGCATTAAATGTTAATAAGAATACCTGTTAATATTATTAAGAATTATAAATTTTTTATATAATAAAAAAAAACCTGAATTTTAAATTTTAACGATCTAATAAAAATGAAAAAAAAGTTAACCTATAATTATTCAAATAAATAAATTATTGAATTATTAAGTTAATATCAAAATACTCATTATCTGAATCTTAATAATCTAATAAAAATAAAAAGAAAGTTTATTCTATAATTACTCAGATAAATAAGTTATTGAATTACTAAACTAATATTAAAATGCTTATTATCTGAATAATCTAATAGAAATTAAAAGAAAGTTTATCCTATAATTACTTAGATAAATAAGCTATTGAATTATTAAGCTAATATTAAAATACTTATTTACACTTACTTAGAATGCATTAAATAATAATAAAATATCTGTTGATATTATTAAGAATTATAGATTTTTTATATAAAAAGAAAAACTTAAATCTTAATAATTTAATAAAAATAAAGAAAAAAGATTATTCTATAATTACTTAGATAAATAAATTATTGAATACTCATTAAATAATCTAGACTTATAAAGAATTCTAATAAACAAGTATAAATATATTTAAAAAACCCTAGATATATATATAAAGCAGATCCATAAATTAAATTGTAAAAAAACTTTTATTGCAACTAAAGCTCAATCTACCAGATATATCAAATATCAATAGAATAATAAATAAATACCTATTGTTATTATTAAAAATCAAATGATTATGCTGGCAAAAGAAATTAAAATAATTCCTAATAATAATAACTTGGAAAAGTTATTTATCAATAATTTGTGCAAAAATATTGTAATTTTGTATAATGATTTTTAATTATAATTAATATAAGTTGTATTAATAAATATTAGTAATATTTCCATCAGTGATTTTTTATAACAGATTATGATTTATAATAAAATTTTACCTTTTTTTAGAAATTTATGTTACTTATATTTTAGCTTTTCATTTGGATTTACATATAAAAACAAATCTAAGATTTTCTATATACTATATATAAAATTTATTTTATATAATTTATAGTTTTTGTAAAAGCTAACTGTTATTGAGGTAAAGTAAAAATAAAGGCAAAATGTTTTATCAATAGAAATATCCATGCATGATCTTGATTGATATTTGATTTGGGTTTTCATTTTCAATTTCTTTTTTTTTTATTCAGCATGTATGTACCTACTACATGTATTTTTCCTATCACAAATATTCACTCTATCATTAATTTTTTTGATATTAAACAATTAACAGAAATATAAAATAAAACAAAACAAAATACATTATTAATTTTCTCAAATAAAAAATTCTTGTAAGATAATTTGATATATTAAATGTTCACCATGTTCATCGTTAAATCAGACTAATTTGTGAGCCCCAAATTTTCATGCCTTAAGAAGAGATCGAATATGTCCAATTTTCAGACCGTCGGTTGTGTATAATCGCTACATGTTCTTTAAATTTGTATACGTCTGTCCGGTTCCAACAAATAAAATCAGTTGTTCGATTGTATAAGTCATTGATAAGGCTGCCCCAACCTGTTTCAAAATAAAAATTTTAAATTAATGTTTGATTACCATAAGTTAATTGGAAGACTTTTAATATCATTCCTGCCAAACCTTATCATCAACTATATCAAGTTTCGTTAAAATCATTCCATGATCCAGAAAAATCCTAAAGCTTGATTCAACTTCGTAAGTTGATCAACTGCTTCATTGCCAACTAACGCGAATATCATCTTGTCGAGATTATTCACTGAAATCAACTAATATTATAAATTAAAAATTAGATAATTAACAAGATCATGTAAAATATAACATTATTTCGATCATATCGTACCTTCGCTAACGCCTCCATGCGTCCCATCGTATCGATCAATACAACATCAAATTTGTTTTTGGCTAAAAATGTAAAATATATATATATATGCCAACAACAAATGTCTCCTCAATTTTACCGCAATTAATAACATTCTTTGCTATCCCTGTAGCATCTTACTCATATAATTCAACATTTGAATTTTGGCTCAATGCATTCAAATTTCTGACATGTATTCTTAATTGTTCTACGCCACCTAATCTAATAAGGACCTTTAATTCATTTTGTATTAACCAAATTAGTCTTGGCAAATTTGTGGACTAATAAAAGAGAAGGCATACATAATTAATAAATAATAAATAAATAAAAAAAAACATGTATTTTATTTTTAAATAAAGATAAAATAAAGACTAACAATATTCATCGCACCAACATTCTTTTCGTTGGGAAAGATTTATGACTCGCTGTCAAGTCTGTGCGCTCGTTTTTATCACCCTTGGATCCATATTATGAACCAAAGCCAACTTTTCTACTTTAAATCCCCAAACCATATCACGATTAAATTTGTGATGATCATACTTTCTTACGTGAGACAACTAAAGGAAGTTTATTTAAAATTATTACCACTGATCATCGTACGACAAGATGGGTTCGTTATATTATTTGAACGCTCTTTCATGTTTGCAACTATTTAAGTAGAATAATATCCTGATAAGTTCGCTAGATTACAGGTTTACAGATTTGTTCACATCGTACTCGTAAACAAAATTTATAATTTCTGTTCTCTTCTAGTAAGTAAATGATCACTAATGTCTAAAATTCTAGCAAGAGGTAAACAAACCTATTCAAGTTGAAAAAAATTAATTAACATAATTGATTTTTTTCTCCTGAACAAAATTAACCAATTTTAACGGCTAAAAGTAATATTATTATAAAAAAAAAAATTCGTCAAACCTGATAGATTTCATCAGTCATAATAAATGGTAGCACTTTTTTAGTGTCTAAAATATCCAGCGTTTGAAGATGGACAAGGAACCCGGTTTCAATATCATTATCGCTCATAAATGAAATTTTCCATTCTGAATCATATGATATAGTTTTACTTGTTCTAAAGCCTTTAAATATCATTGACATAAATGGTGCCATGAAGCAGCCGAAATTTGAGAATTAGTAGAGTTTACTCCAAAAATTTCACTTAAAATCTTCCTTGCATAAGATAACTTCATCTGACGGGCAAAGAAATCTTTAATTGGTATCTCCAAAATGAAATCTGGGGGTCTTCTCATTTCTCGCATCGCTACTCTCTTGGTTATAATCTTTGCTGAGACCGTAATAAAAAGATCATTCTTTTTATGATCATAATATTCCTTGCATCATATTCATACCAAAAGAGGCGAATCTCTGGACTACAATTTACGATGGGAATTTCTTCACTTCGCACGTATGGCTCGGCATCAAATTTGAGTACAATAATATATTATCGAAAAATTTCGCAGGACCCTTAATATTTGGAATAACACGGTACATTATGCTTCTATCTTTGGTAGTGAACTGAATAGTTCTTGGATTGTCATCATCTCCCATAACTTGATTTCTCACATTGAGTTCTCACATTGAGCCCTTCGACATTTGGGTACCATCATACATTAAAACTTTGAAACTTTGGTTCCTTTTGCAAAACACTTACCAACACCTATATAAATGATAAGTATGTAAGCATGTCTCCAATTTTATTATTTATCTTACAAAATTTAACCCACCGTTACTAATAAAGCAAATCGTACAAGGACATGAATAGGACTGAGCTTGCGTAATATCACGTAGCAAATAAACTGATGACTTTGGTGTGAGTATACGTTGTTTCACACCTAAAAAAAAAGAAGTACGAACGTTAGTACAGTTGACTAAATTCCTTTTTAAGTTAAAATTAATTTTAATGACAAAATTAAACAAAAATTTATTCATAACATACTCTTAAAGCTTTCAGTCTTTTGTCCTACCAGTTTTCACAACCGAATCACAAATGAGCTGCAATATCAGCTGCAACATTTTTTTAATTAAATGTTAACGAGATTCTGTTCTGTAATTTCTTTCAGTTCAGTGATATTTTTAGAAATGACAATATGCTAGATCTGCTATTTTTTTGGCAGAAGTGTTGTTTCGTTATAATCATCCTCTTCATATTCATACTCATCGTCATCTTGAGTACTTCCAACTTGTAATTGGCCCAATTAATCTAAGTCAACCAAATTTTGCGGATCTACTGATGACGATTTATCGCTATCACTTTTTATCTTCACTATAATCCAAACTTTCCATCTCTTCTTCGTCAATTTATCATCCCATACACGCATTGTTTTCTTTCTAACTTACTTCTTATCGCGCTATTATACAATAAACAATTATCATTAATAAAATAGGCTTTTAAAATAAATACGTCTTTTGTTTTTACACTTACTCTAATGAAACATTAGATTCGTTAGATCGTTCGGCAGTTCCAGACTGTTTATATCAACCGTGTCCTCGCTTTCCACGACGTAGATGAAGGTCTTGAATATTATGAGTAATTTCATCTTCACTGATAATCGGGTTCGTAAGAGTCATTTACACCTGAATAGAGAAAGAATTTTTTATTTTATCTTTCTTAAAAAACAAACTGATAATGTAATATGAATTTACTAAGTTTTTTTGATCCTTCTGCAATTTCTTTAAATTTTATAGATAACTTATCGTGAGCCTAAAAAATAATAAATCAGGTAATTAGATTAGTACTTATCCTCATTTTTAGAATTTTAACGTTATTAAAGAATATTTTAACTCTTGGAATCCTTTTCTTCGATATAATTTAATATTATGTCAAATCATCATAATCGAATTTGCGAAGTTGGGCAGCGTCTCGAATGAGATTAACAAATTTATCACAAAATTTCTAGAAATTCTTCAGTATATGCAAGTTGAAGAATTTTTTGATAAGCAGCCTAGAAAAATATACCTGTTACAATAAATCAATCAAAAAATACTAAGAATCATAGATCATAGGTGATACTACTAAAGTCAACACTTTATTAGATATATACCACGATATTCATTTGTGATAAGAAAGTAATCACATTTCTAGCATTAATTTTGACTGAGCTATTACAAAAATTGTGTTTTTCACTTTCACTCTCAGATATTGTGAGTTGCATACGAAATATTCGAGGTCCTAAGGAGTCTTTGATATATATTTCTCTAGCTCTTTCTTCACTTAATACTATAATTAATTAGTCGGGAACGAAGTAATACGAGTAAAGATTTTGGGGCGTCCTTAACGTACAGTGAGAGTGTACGATATTAACATACGAACTGGCTCGAAGTTTAGGAGTTATGCCCTTGCAAGTAATAGCGTCAACGTTAATTCCGGACAGTTCGTACTTTAATATCATACACCCTCAAGGAACCCCAAGATTTTGACCAAAGTACATTTCCACCTTTCGTTAGAAATGTAAACAAGCTGATAACTTTTAAACCATCAGCAAATGTGATTGGCAGATGATAATCATTTAGACCAACAAATGGTGCATAACTGCATATATTACTATTAAGTAAATTACCGTATTTTATCGAAAATAAGCACCCCATTTTTGCAAGGATTCTGGACGAAAAATTTGGGGGGTGTTTATTTTCAAGACTTTTTTTTAAAATACGATTATCTATTAATCAAGGGGTTTTATCACTCTGGAAATTTTTTTTACTAATTCGGGAATTTCACCATGTGAATTAGGGGTATTATTTCGCGTTCGTGACTTTATAACTTTCGCGTAACCTCGTAACTTTCACGAAACTTTTATACGACCTTCATAACTTTCATACAACTTTTATAACTTTCACAATTTCATACAATTTCAAACCTGTTTTAATACTATGCCACAAGTTTCAAAACGCCAACGTAGTTCGTATTCTATTGAGCAAAAAAAAATTGTCGTTGCTTATGCTAAGGAACGTGGCAGAAATGAAGCTTCTAGGCACTTTGAACTTGATGCTAGTATGGTTGGAAGGTGGGTCAAAGCAAGTTTAAACTGGAAAGATGAAACAAAAGCAACAAACATGAGTGTAGGTTCTGGCCGAAAAGCATTTTATCCTGAAGCAGAAGTGGAGTTATACAAATGGGTTATGGAACAAAGAAAAATGGCATTAGCTATAACCACAGTGAATTTACGAATTTCAATGTTTGAAATTTTAGACCGGCCAGAAATGATCTCTCTCTATGGTAATTCAATAGAAACATTTAAGGCAACATCTAGTTGGTTATCTGCATTTATGAAAAGGTATAAATTGGCTTTACGGCGGCGTACAAAAGTGTCACAAAAACTACCTGAACAAACAGAAGAATTATTGGAAAAATTTCGCAGATTTGTCATTCGAATTAGGGTCAGAAAATCTTTTGAATTGTGTAATATTTTTAATATGGACGAAACGCCTGTCTGGTTTGACATGGCTGGAAATTTTACCATTCATACGAAAGGTGATAAGACAATTCATATTCGTGGAACAGGAAATGAAAAAAACAGATTTACAGTAGTTTTAACATGTGCCGCAGGTAAGATTTACATTAAATTTATGGTTTTTATTAGTTTTTAAATAAAATAACAATTTTTTTTATTTATAATAGATGGAACTAAATTTCCGGCAATTTGTATTTTCAAAGGAAAACAAATGCCACGCGGAGAACAAGCACCTTCTGGTGTGATTGTTTGGTTCCAAGAGAGTGGATGGATGAATACAGACTTAATGAAACGGTATGTTGATTATCTCAAACGTTCAAGAATAATGACAAACGGTCAATCCAGCTCTCCTGCATTGATGGTGTATGATTCTTTTAGAGGACATTTAGAAGAATCTGTTAAAAACGCATTTCATGATACTAATGTTGATTTGGCAGTAATTCCGGGTGGTTTGACTAGCATTTGTCAACCACTTGATGTTGCAATCAACAAGCCATTTAAAGACAACCTCCGTAAAGAATGGCACCACTGGATGTCTAATGGTGGTGCTGGGTATACTACTTCAGGAAACCTTCGACGTGCTAAAATAAGTGATGTTTGTAAATGGGTTAAGCGTGCATGGGAGAATATTTCGGATGATATTATTATCCGTTCTTTTAAAAAATGTGGTATATCTAATGATTTAGATGGATCGGAAGATGATCTTGTTTATGAAGAAATTGATGAACTTCTTAAAGAACTTCAAGATGAAAATGAGGAAATGGATGAAATTGATTTTATCGATACAAATTAATAATATTTGTTTAAATTTTATTTTTTTTTCTAAGTCAATAAAATCAATATAGTTAAAAATTATTTTTTTTTCTATTGTCAATAAAATTAATAAAATACCGGGGGATGCTGATTTTTGAAGGTGCTTATTTTTGATTTTTGCATGAAATCGCACAAAATAAGGGGAGGTGCTTATTTTTGATAGGTGCTTATTTTCGATAAAATACGGTACTGATTTTACTGATAGTTTATACAAAATTGTAATAACTTAGTTATTTATTTTAAGAAGTGAACGTTTTTGTATAAAAATAAATAAATTAAAATAATAATATAATAAAAAAAAAAAAAGATTAGAAAAAACAAATCATTTTTTTTTTCAGATTAATCTGAAAGTATTCATTATTCAGATTCTCATATAATCTAAAATTTTTTTTTAGGTTTCAGATCAAATCAAATAAATAATCTAACATAACCTAATTTGACACCGATTTATTGCACTTTTCAAAAGTGTACTACCACCTATAAATTATCTAATAAAAAAATTATTAGATTATAGGATAATTATCAGACAAAAATTGGATAATGTTGTCCTGTAATCATCCTGTAATCATCCTGCAATCAATCATCACAATGTACACAGAATTCTGAAAACTGTGATAACTTGATAAAAATTTTAGAACAGATTTATCAATTAATCTAATTTAACCTAAGAGTGCTGTCAGATATTACCTAATATTTTAAGGGGAGGGAGGTAAATAAAGATCTTAGGTTACATACAATACTATACAGTCAACTCTCTATAAATGCACCCCTCTTGGAACTGGATAAAAGTGTGCGATTACAAAGGGTGTGCATTTATAAAGAGTAAATAATTAGAGGTCATATATACTT